TCTTAGAGAGAGAGAGAGAGAGAGAGAGAGAGAGAGAGAGAGAGAGAGAGAGAGAGGTTACTGGCAGAGGTTACATCAGGCATCAGGCCCAGGATCTGATTCGACATTTTTGTGGCAGACATTGATTGGACAGCCGGCAGGGGGAGTATTTTTGGACTTCGCTATTGTGCTCTTGGTTTTCTACCTCACCTCCATCTTCGTCTCGCCTCTCCCCCCATCTTTAATCCGTGGTATCTTCCCCCATGTGTGTGTGCAAGGAGGGACATTCCTTCTGTGTATGCGGTCCTTCCTCCCTCTCTCAGATCTGTGTATGATGGGGTGTTGCGTCAGTATCTGACAGGTCAGGTCATATCTTTGAGTCTTCCGCTGCGCTACATTGTGCTATTTCCATATGTATCTGGATGTACATTGGTTGTTGATACTTTGCTGACCCTGCATTGTCTATTCGAGTCCTTTTCATCACTTTGCGGATCCTTGGCTCCCCATACATGGATAGACTGAGCATGTATCAGAGGGAAAGAAGAAGAACAACAACAAAGAAAGAAGAAGAATATGTACATCAGCAAAGACCAATGATAATTCCCTTTTTCCTCGCCAACCACTCTCCTCCTTTTCTCCTCCCCTCTTTATTCACAACAAACAATAATAAGAATGTTGAATGGCTGAACCAGAATCAATGTCCGAATCCCTCTTCTACTGGAGGTACAACATGAGGTCCACCATAGCCATGGCCACCCTTCTCCTTCCTCTTCCTGAAGGCCGAGGCTATGGCGGACTGCTAGGGCCTTACCCTGATGTGGAAAAGACAACTCAAAGCAGCTATGGCTGCTCTAGCTCAGGCCGCCATGGCTGACTCTGTCTCGAAGCTTCTTGGTGTAGCTCTACCCCAACTGGGCCCTTCCAGATGCAGCTCCTACCAAGGTGATGAAGATATAGCAGCCTGCGTGCCTCTTTGGCGGTGACTTCCAGACCGCTCGGCCACCAAGCAACCGCTACCTCCTCCCTTTCGGAGGGAAACATGATTGCAGACTCAACTGGGCCCTTCCAGATGCAGCTCCTACCAAGGTGATGAAGATATAGCGGCCTGCATGCCTCTTTGGCAGTGACTTCCAGACCGGTCGGCCACCAAGCAACCGCTACCTCCTCCCTTTCGGAGGGAAACATGATTGCAGACTTTGTTATTGCCCGTGCAGGCCCTAGACTCAGACTATTTGGACTGGTACCCGCCTAGACCTAGCCTACAACTACTGGACCTCTAAAAATGCCAACTTCTGTCTTCTTCTGCTCGGCCTCGAGTACCCGACACATCAATCGCTACCTGGTGTGGTACCAGCCTACCTGCGACTTAAGTGTTTCTTAAGTGTCGCGGACCTCTTTCCTGCCACCTGAGTGTTTTCCCCGCTACAACCCTCAATGTCAGGGCCACTGGTAAGTACCGGCCCTTCTGGCCTCCCAAACGAACACCCACACTTTCAAACCGACCGACACTAAAACAAGCACGCAGACCAGCTAGCACGCACACACACAGACTTAGAAAACTCACCAAAAAGCGGGAAACTCAGCAAGGCATACATTCCATTGGCAAAACTCAGAAATCAGCTGTGTGTCTCAGTCCGTGTTTGGCAGGTCCTTGCACATTTGTCATTTATTTTACTTTCCATCAACGAGCATACTCGCTCTGTGTTTGTGTGTGAGCTCGTGCACACGCTTGAAACGGTGTTCACCAGTTAGCAGTAGCTGCTGCAGATCCCAGGGTTCAATCCCTAGACCCCAACCTTACCTGTGTATAGTGTCAGAGTCGACCCTTAGAGTTGAACCCGTGACTTGTGTATTTGTAACTATTGGTAGGCGTCTTAGGGTCCAGAGGTTGCAGGGGTTCGATCTGTAGACCTGTCGTGTAGGAGTCCTCGTCAGGTCTAGAAGTCGTAGCTAAATCTTTCTCGAAGGGCCGAGGTCGTAGCTGCTATAGTCACGAAAAGTCTACGGCCTTCCGGAAGGCCCCGGTAGTGGCCTTTCGAAGTTGCCCACGTTTAGGCAGAGGCAAGTGGCCAAGTGGTGAGGCAAGTGGGCAAGTGCTGGAAGTCTACCGTGCTGAGTCAACAGTCCCAATCCCCAGTCAGTCAAGCAAGTACCGCATGGGACTGTGTGCACTTCGGGCATGGGAAAGGGCCAGACCAACGAGCTGCAGAAGTGTAAATCAAGAGGCAGCGCCCAGCCATGCATTCATTCCTGCGGGAGCCATGCGGAAGCGCTGCCACAGCGACTTGTGCAAGGAGGTCTGCACTGACTCTGCAGTGAGCCCGAAGACGAAGTGGGCGAGAGAGACGAAGTATAGCCATAGCGATAGGGTGGAGGCGGCCATAGGCGCCGTAGGTGTAGTTGTAGTTGAGTGTGTGTGTGTGAGAGTTGAGAGAACCGCGTGTGGGATAGTACGTGAACAGAGAGTTGTGTGGGCGCTATGTCGCCATAGCCAGTTGAAGTGAACACGTGTCTGAGTTGCGTTCTTGGTTGCCATACCTCTGAGTATTGAGTGGGCGCATGTCGCCAGTTTGCTGCGCTCCTGTTTGCATGCATGTAAAGTGTGGATGAAAGCAAGTCTGATTTCACGCTAGAGAGAGAGAGAGAGAGAGAGAGAGAGAGAGAGAGAGAGAGAGAGAGAGCAAACAGACCTGGAGACTCATCAGACATCCAGTGACGCTTTGTTGATGTGGGCTATTTGTTTGTTTGTCCTTTTTTTTTTTTTTTTTTGGATATGCCGTCATCTAGCAGTAAGAGAATATCCCAGGCACTCAGGCAGTTCCTACATCGAATGCCCTGCTTAGCCTCCTAGACGTATTTCCTCCCACCTTCTGGGAACAACCTATGGTCGCGTGACTTCTCACATGCAGTTGCATTCTACAGATTTTTTTTTTTGTCTGTCGTGTTTTGCATTTGACTTCACTCATAATCTATGTCTAGCTATATAGTTGTGCTAACCACTTGTGTTCTCTATTTCCTTCATATGTTTTGAACACTCACGCAACGGTCCGAAACAGGCATGTGTCATAATCACATGCACACCTTATTCACCTGCCAACACGTGTTATGCATAGAATAACGTTGGCATAGTCAAATACAATACAATACTCTGAACTCCTATATATCCTGCTTTTTCTCTTCCCACCCCGCCACTTATTTGTAATCTCTCCATACCCCCTTCTGGTGCGGGCGGAGCCACACTGGCTCTTGATTTCTTTGACAGTGTAGAGAAGTGCTAGTCTGAGTATGCCCTCAGTCCAGTTGCTTTGCTTTGATTTCAGGCACGTGTGTGAGCGTTTTGTCTATTCTGCGTCCAGATGGGTCCAACGGGATGCGTCTTTGTCTGTTCTCAGCCCAGTATCCTAGGCGGGTGTCTGAGCACTGTGTCTGTTCTGAGTCCAGACGTGGGGTATTTTGTCTGTTCTTGGCCAGTATGATGTTGCACTAGCCCAGCTCGTGTTCGAGGCTGGGCCTGGATCTGATTTTCTGCCAGGCGGTTGTTTTTTTCCAGGCCCTTCTGCTGATTCAGCGTTGTTGGGCCTGGATCAGAGCCTGAGTCCCAGGCCACACGTTTTGGGGCTTGGGCCTGGGATTTTTCACGTGGTCTTTCATCTGGACCGCCGGATCCTCGAGTAGATTGGATGGCCCAGAGATGGAGGTCGACTTGGATGGAGGCTGGCCCAGTAGTTGGTCGGCAGTTCTCACTTCATTTGTGTGCCACCAGGCTGCACGGCTTGGAGCAGGCCAGTGCTCGTGATGGTAGAGGAGCTGCGTTAGAATAAAACTGTAGAGGTTAGAGGAGGTTGGAGAAGTCCACTGACCAGGCGCCATATCCTGGAGATTGGCTGCCAGCCATAGCTGGCTTTCTCTTTCGACACACCTGCAGTACGTCAGCGGCTCAAGGCTATGCCGTTCACTGGCCATTATCATCCATATGTGTGTGTGTGTGTGTGGAGGGGGGAGAGAGAGAGAGAGAGAGAGAGAGAGAGAGAGAGAGAGAGAGAGAGAGAGAGAGAGAGAGAGAGAGAGAGAGAGAGGGAGGGCATTGAGGATCCGAGATCTGAGGTTCACTGTGGAGATGTTTGAAGGTTGAGGCAGAGTGAGAGTTGGAGGAGAGGCTATTATTAGTTGACGCTGCCGTACATTGAGTCTTCTTCTTCTTCTTCTTCTTCCTTCCATTCTCCTCCACCTCTGTCTGGGGATGATTTCCCGGTTCTTCGATGTATGGACCCCTCAATGCTTGATGATAGATGAGATCTGAGCCACAGTGTCATTTGCTGCATCGTTAGACATTCTATCTGATTCAAGTCTTCCGCTGTGTCACATTGTATCTCCTCCTCATATTGGTGATCTTTGGAGTTGCATCGCCAAGGGTTCACTCCGGGCATGCACCACCAACAGGTGCCCTTCTCATCTTCTTATCTTTCCTTCCTTTTAAATCATACTCCCCCTCCTCCCTTCCTCCCCCCCCCCCCAAAAAAAAATCTACGGCCCTGTTGAATGTCTCGTTG